TTGTTAAGCCTCGAGAGAGAACGATGCATATGATTGCGGAAGTGAGTGCTTCTCCGAGAAGCAAGAAAGTGGGATGAGACAGGAGAAAGGCGCGGTGGATTCCTTGTGATAGTTTACCCAAAACAAAAGGTCGAAAACGGGAGATCTCGTTCTTTGTATGCTTTGGTCCACAAGGTCCATTTTTCATTCATATATCGGATCTAAAGATGCCTATCTATCTGAGCACCCCAAAGTGCTGTTCCAAGAGAATCCTGCGACGGCTCTGCTGATCCCCCCCTCACAAATGTTCTGCTCCCACGTTACCGACCTGTGCTGATATTATTCGCACGTAGTGGCGAGGCATATATGCCCACTTCCGTTGCTGCTTATTATGATCACAGGAAATCCCTGTCCATTGCATTGTGTGCATGGCCACAGCAAAAGAAGGAATACGTAGGTGGAGACGTAAAAGCTTTCCTTGGCGGCGAAGGCAGTACGATCCGGTGAGTAAGAAAGAAGGAAACGACGGGCATTTCTATATGTGCATGCATGGGAGGGACATGCACGAGTGCTACTTTAAAAAGGGCGCAAAGTTGGCGCAGCGATGCGCTCTACTTTGCCTCGAAAACTCTGATTCCCTCCTCGAAGCCTTTTCTCATCGACGCTAACGAGAGAGACGGTGGAAAAGGGCTTATGGGTGTCGTGCATCCCCATCTTTCCAAAAGCTCAAAGTGTTTGTTGTCCCCCTCGGAGTGCAGATTTAAGTAGTGTTTTTAGCTGTTAAATAGGATGCTTCATTCCACTGACTGTTCGAGCCACAATGATTGATGGCTCATTGCCGCCGGGCCACTGCAGTCTATGATAGCAAAAGATGCTTCACCCCAAAAGCGGCTTTAGCTTGCCTACCGAGGATGAGCTCCATGCCTTTGTCATCTTGTTCTTGCACAGAAAACGCTCGGTGGTTTGTCTTCTTTAATGTCCACACAGTGCAGCAATCAGGTTGGATCTGATATCAAATAAATTTTCCTTCTTCGATAAAGCTTCTTCAACAATCTTCTTCTTTCTACTTCATTTCTATCATGGTATCAGAGTAGTGAGAAAAGCGAAGCTTCGCCTCTGTCTTCGACAAACGACTAACGTCGCTGCAGCCACAGCCACATTCCTAAGAGGCTTCGCGGTCAATCCTCATCTTCCTCACCGCGGTAGTCTTCGTTGATCTGCCAACAGTCGGTGAACTTGAGGAGAATAAAGGAAACGCCTGTGCCCTCAATAGTGCCAGGACTCAACGGTCCGGTGCGCTCTCCTTCGAGTATACGTATAGCCACGCCATGCACAGCACCGTATGGATCGCCGCTGCGTGCACAAACTCAAGCAACCGTAGTCACCCACCTCTCACCTCCTTGATACTACTGTAGCATCACAGCAACTGTTGCAGCTTACTCCTCTGCTACAGCATTGCTATAGCTTTCTTCATTGCTGTAGCTTTCTCCTCTATTGCAGTTGCTGTCGCCGTCGTAGCCACAGCAACAGTAACATCAATAGTAACTGTAGCAACAGCAGCGATCTGTTCTTGGCCTACTCACGAAACCTCTCGCTCATAAACTATTTGCTCTGTATCGATCCAATATTAGTATTCTTAACAGAAACATCATCTTTTGCGAGGTATGATAGCAAATAAATTTTTCTTCTTCAATAAAGCTTCTTCATTTATTCAATAAAGTTTATTCAACAATATTCTTTTTTCTATTTTTAAGCACGAGGAGAGATGTCGATTCTACCGTGCCAATCGCGTTCGAAGTTTTGACCGGCGAGAGAAGCACAGCCAGTCCCACAAAGGTAGTCTAATCCGACGGCACCTTCGACCAGCAAAAGGCTTAACTTTTAATTGACCAAACATTAATGGGAAGCTTTAGTTCAAAGCTTTTGTAGTTATGATGAGGCTTTTTAAGCCATTATTACGCATTATAACCACAATCATTGACACTGACATAAAAAGCGCACTGCTGAGAGTGACTTCATCACTAAAGTTAATCTTATTATTATTACAATTACTATTATTGTTGCTTGTAATTTGTTCGGATGAGAGTGAAAATTATTTTTTATTTGACTCTCATCCGTAACAAATTACAAGCAATAATTATAATAATAATAACATTAACCTTAGATTAATCATGATTAATGATGAATTTTTTTTTTAAAATATTCTTAGCATGGTAATTATTTTAAAGAATATATTTATTTTTTTTACAAAAATAAATGATGAAGATATGATTCGAAAAAATAGTCGATATCTTAATATTTTTTTCTGATTAAACTAATGGATAAGATCCCGAGTCTCAATGATTATTAAAATAATATAAAATTTTGTTTTAAGATTAGTCGACAAAGATCAACTAAAAGTGTATATAATTATCTAAATTTTAAGGATGTTTATTTATATTAACATATAATTTTGTAAAAAATAATGTAAGGTAACTAAGTTTGTCATGATGTGGATCATGATGCACTTCAGTACTAGTTGATATCGTATCATATTGTTTATGGTTGATAATAGTCCATGAAAGCATATAGGGTGAATTTTTTTTAATAAAATATCTATATTTTTAATTTTTTAATCTATACCCTTCAATTTACTCTATTTTTTAAAATAGCACCTCTATTTCATAAAAATCTAAAATACCCTTCAAAAAAATGTCATCCATTTTTTTTACCAATTTAAAATTAAACTTGTTTATAATGTTTATATTGAGATACTGAAAATATTATAAACACTATTGAAAAAAAATACTATAAGTAACAGCACATTATTTCTCAGACCCAACGACACCATATTTTTAAGCTTATAATTGATTTAATTGATATTAAGAGTCTATTTGAATCATTTATAGTATTTTCGAGTATGTTTTATAGTCTCTTTACTATCGTGGTCAAATAAACTATTTTTTTTTTATTTTCATTTAGGTAATATAAAAATGCTATTTGAATTATAGTATAATATATCAAATAATTTTTAATATATCTTGATTTCATTTGATTTATTTATAATATTTTAAGGAAAATTTATAATTTTTTTTTATGTTGATCGAAACACCCTAATAAATACTATAACAGATAATTTTTAAATTAACAATACTAATTGAAAAAAAAATGCAAAAGAGAGGCTATCCATTGAAAAGTATTATAAAAAAAATAAAATATTAAAAAAAATATATTCATGCAAAGATAACTGAGCAAACATAGGCAGCTTTTGGCGTGAGTGAGTTGAGTGCCCGACGATGTGTCGCTAAGAGAGCGAAAGCGGCTGTGGATTGCGTGAACGGCAAAGCCGCTTTGGGGCAGAGGATAAAGCGGTGGCTGTTTGACGTCGACGAGCACTGCTGCTACTACTACTACTGCAACAACAACAGCTAGACTTGCACTATGGCAATCATCAGATGCGACGGCCAAATAATTTGGAAGACAGCGGTAGAAACATTCTTTTTTGTGTGTCGGGTGATCGTCTCTCTCAACATCTTCCAACGTCAACACATGTTTTGATTTCTCCCTAAATCAAAATATATTCTATTTCTCTCCAAATCGAACATGCTTTTAACATCTTTAAGATTGGATGGTGTTATGATATCGACGTTTCAGTGGAAAGGATATAAAGGCGCCAGCATGAGGTTACGTGATGACTGTGAAATCTGAGTGAGTAGGTTCCAGTTCGGTGGGAAGGAAGTCTAGTCTCTCTCTCTCTCTAGATATGTCGATTGAAGTGACATCATACATGGCTACAGTGGGCCGCCACTAAGTTCGCCATGTAGCTGTTCACTGCGGCGAGGACGACGGAAGAGAGAGATGATGGCGGATCCAAACATCCACGAAGAGGATCCCCGGTGCTGGGCTTTCGGACAACAGCGTGTGTTCCGACAGCAGGACGGCAATCTTTGGACAGTACAGAGATCGATCTCGGAAGTAGCGCAGTCGACATGACATGTCGCCGCTGCCTGCCTCCCTTCCTTGTTGCTGCTGCTGGCGTTATCCACTGCTCCAAGCCACCCATGTTTCTTCGACGACGGGAATCGCTTGGCGCGCGAGGAAATGGGTGGGGGGATACGGCCACCGAATGGGCATGGTGGTGGAGCCGATGCAGTGGTGGGCTGGCAGTCGAGGTTTGATCATGAAAGGCTCCACTTTGCGAGATCTTCACTGTCCTTGGGGGGATCCTCCTTTGACTGCATCTCCACCCTTTTCAGTTGTCGTCAACGTTTGGACGCCCTGCTGCTGCGTGCATTGGTTCTGTCGGGAGATTTGGTGCCCCCACGGCGGTGTTGTTGTCTTGCCCACCGCCGTGGACACGAGCGCGTTGATGATGATGGTCTCTAAGTCAGTCGTCTCGAGGGCACAACTCGTAGCGAAGCTTCTTCATCCGTGGGAAAAGGAGAATAGAGAACTCACTCATACGTAGGTTGGAAGGGTTGGGCAATGGATTACGCATCTGACAACTCCATTTTGAGTATACATCGTGATATTATGATAGAGAACATATTTACTTTTTAACCAAAAACTCCACACTTGACATCCAAATCGACAGAAAAAGACAAAACCAAATATAACAACGCGGCAGCGAAAATCCAAATAGAAAACATCCTTCAAATATTTTCTGCATGCAGAGAATACGATCAAGAATGACCGACTACAAAAAGATACACTTGTTAAGTTAGATCCATCAACCGCTTAAAGTGAATTATGTGTCCCACGAAGCCCAATTTCGATTTCGAGTGTTGCAGCCCATCCACCAGCCAACCAAGCAACATACACCGAAAGCAAATGTCACCAATATCAGATGGACTTCCTGCAATGTGACACCAGTTTCATTTATTGTGCTGTAATCCTGCCAACATATTGATCTGGAAAAAAAAATGCTGATCGGAAACAAAGATAATAGAGGAATCCTGCACCATTAACCACTGGAAAGAAAACAATTTATTTTCCTGTTACCCTTCCGACTTACAACCTGGAATCTTAAAGCTGAAAGCTGCTCAGAAACGAATACACTTTGTAGTTCTATAGCACTGATGAAAAGCACATAAAAAGTTCACAACGGAATTCTGAAGCTCTCAAAAACACTATCAGGAACAGAAAGATACTAAATGAGATAAGCATGTGAGAATAAATGGACCAACTACTGATGGATATATTACATACAGAAGTTGTGAAAAGAGACTAAAGCTATTTTACTCCAGCTATTGCTGTGGGAAGGAAGCTAGAGAATCGACCATGTTATACTCGAATTTGGAGAACCGCAAGGAGTCATGGTCGGTACTTTTTCCCATTGCAGCAGAAGCAATAAAAAGGCTCGTTTGCGACTATTAAACAGCGGGCCGCATCACACAGGGGATGCAGTTCCATTGTTTGGCTTGTTTGCCACGGAATTTGGAATTTCACAGGAGTTAGATGCCTTCACTCCATTCAGAGTTGAGTTGCCTCTCTCTCTGCTGTTTAGCTGGCTACTGTTGCCTTCGCCATCCTCATCAACTACAAGTGATCCCACTCGCAAGAGTTTTTTGACCTTATGGAATTCATCATAATGAGCTTTCCGGTGCTCCTTGAAACTTAACCTTGCAACATCCTCTTCAGAATCTAAATACACACATTAAACAATTTTGGTTAGACATAATTGTTGTCTATAATAATAAACATAAACTAAAGACAAACAACTGAGTTAGATAAGATAAGCAAAACACACACACTACTAAAACATATAACCACATATACAAAAGCATGTCCAGGTGTAACAACATTCAGAGGTACGTCCAAACAAACTTCTATTGAGGTGGCACCATTTCACTGATTCAGCATCAGAAATGTTTACCATGCATGAGTGACCAAACAGTAACAATGAAAAGCCTCAAAAGAACCAAAAGACATTCTCTTTGAATGTATCCATCTCCAGATTAGTCGGTGCAAACCTTTCCAGATACAAGTTAATGGCTTTGCAAGCTTTTGGTTGCAAGCAAATAGTAACACAAATTTTAACTACAAGTACAAACTGAGCTTTTCAGACCTCTAATGTAAAATATAATGGGCAGCTAGCAAAGAATGAAGACATGGGTGGCTTCATTGGCTCAATCATTTAAGAGACTTACAGTTACCCGGTTAATTCAGGAAGCTTAATTTGTCTGGAACAAGCTTCGACACAGAAACCATTATAAATATAACAAATTCTTATAGCAGAACTTTATACAACCAAAAAGCTAGCATGCATACATCAAGTAAAACTGAAAAACCACTGACAACAGTACACTTGGAATTTATATTCATCATTTTTTTATTTTTTAACAAAATATTTGAACAGTTGATTGACTTATATGCATCAGCCTCATTTTCCAGAAATTATGTGCATCTGATTTCTCCCTTCCCATCACTTAGTCCACACACCCACCAGTACAAAATTTCTTTTTCACCATTTAGTAAATAGTTACTATTAAAATTTTAAATATAGGTGGCAGAGGATGCAAATGTATACCAGACTTTGCAGTGTATAAGTTGATTTGCAAACAAAAAGAAAAGGACGAAAGAAAGAAAGGAAAAACAAGTAAATTGCCGACTAGATAGAAGCAGTAAGTAAGAAGCAACAGGCAACCATCATCTTGCTCCATGGCATCAGTTTCATCTTCAGAAGATGTCCAACCCCCATTGGAACTTTTGCTTGAAGAAGCCACATCATTCAAAGCGGTCATTAGGGCTTCTGCATGAGCAGAATTATCCAAGCATGCATCAAAAGTACGTCTTGGTGACAGAGAACCTACAAGTCAAACCATTCCACTAGGTTTACTCTTTTTCCAAAATTAACACAACATAAGATGAAACATAATGGATCCATATGGATGAATTAGATCTTTCACATACCGTCGTCATCAATCATAGGGTGATAAGGTGTCTTAGGCTCCGTTATCTTTTGCCTCACTGGTTTATTTTCTTCAATCTCAACCAAGTTTGCTTCATTCCATCTAACTCGACCCTTTCTAAGAAAAAAAACCATGAAACCAACAAGCTGGTCATATGTCGGATACACGTCATTGACCATATACCCAAAGGGACTGAAACATATACTCTTCAAGAGAATCATGTGTATCTACAGATAATATATGGGGAAAAGGAGAACAAAAAAAAAGAAAAGACAAAATGAGTTGTAAACACAACTGATAAAAGTTTGCCTGCTTGTTTATGATATTGTCTTCCAACTAATTTTCCTTTTGCTATCATGTATAATTTTTCTGTTGTGTTGCATTTAAAAGAGCTAGAAAAACAAAGGTAAAAAAAAAAAACAATATAAACAGGAAAGAAGAAAACAATAAATAGTGTGGATCAATCTTCAGTTCCTTTCAAGAAGCAAGCCATCTGGAGAAAAAAAAAACATATCCAGCCACTTTGAAATATGGCAACAATGAGAAGAAAAAAGAGCAAAATGAAAAATTAAGCAACCTTGCTGAACCACATGGAAATAAAAACCAAAAACAATTCCATACAGAAAAAATAAGCCTCTGTTAAAAAGATAAGTTCTGTGAGATCTTTCTCTCTAAGTCTTGACCTCCAACAGGACCTTTCAAGCCTTTCTTTGTGAGCTATAAGCACAAGGCCAGCTGCATTATTATCCCCATCATAACTAAAGTTACATTCTTCATGCTATATTTTACAGCCGACTTCTATAAGTATTTGGTGTGCGAACAGTACAAACATCACATACATGATGCATCAATAGATGGCATAAGACTACACACTGCAATGGGTTCATACAGTAATAAGTAAGCTAATATTACTAACCTCATACTTTGTAGAAACAATCTTCTTAACCAACCAGAAATCTCAGGTTACTCTTAAAACCAACCTACAAGTAGGGAAACCTCAACAGTTAAAAATGATAACCACTGATATTAATAATCCATAAGACATGTAAAAACAAAAAAGGTAATATGGAAGGTTTTGGACATTTCATGCACGGGAATTTAAAGTATTTGTAGGTAAACAAGAAAATATATAGAAACCCAGCACAAAAACTTCGAAAAAAAAAAAAAACAAAGAAACTTCTCGAGTAACCAAGAGAGGCCACCATATGGTAGCACATGAATGAAGGATGTTTACAACAGTAACATGAATCAGATTAAGCAACATTCGACAAAAACAAATGTTACTAAGACGGCACAAAATGTGTCGCAACAGGTTTCACCTGTGCCGGTCATGTCTGCATGAACGTTACCATTTTACAACTCCAGAATCCATCTAATGGCATCATCAACCAAGGATTGCAACTTAAATATGTCATAATAAACCGATTTGTCTAACTGAGCAACAAATGCATATGTAGTTTCCCCAATTTAAAATAATAGTGTAAGGGCCAATCATTTGTTTGTGCAAATAAGCAACGTAGCTCAAGTAAATTATATACAATTTATAAAAGCAAAATTTACTCCTCCGACACCAGAAAATTGAAAAGGAAACACAATACAAACTATCGAAAAATTGATAATTTATGAAAAAAAAATCACCTCCAATACATGCTTGATGACAAAGAATCCAAGTGTTTGCCAAAACTCACCGTTCTAACAAGATGCACGCATCTGCCCTATCGTTTGCTTCTAGTTACAAATATTGCGATGGGACTTATTAAGTTAACACAGTTAAAGCAGCGAACAATTGCACAGAAACACTTATATTTTGCATGAACAATCGCAAACTTAGATATCAGCCTAATCGACCCAAAGAAACGAACCGCAGTATCAAGAAATTCAATTGTAGCAGGGGATGCATAACATTGGACCCCTAGATTTCTTTTAGGGTTACGGTCAAACAAAACAGTGAAGCGATGAAAAGATCCATCCTTTGATCAGTGCAAAAGTTAGGGTTTCTCTTCGGCTCCAGTTAGAAAGTCGATCGTAACGGCAGCGATGAGATGGTCGAACACCACCGATGTAGGGTTGCGCTTATTTTCCCTCCGCTACTAAAAGCGCCGCAGCGATCATGCGACGGGCGGCAGCAAGCGAGGGTAAAGAAAGAGAATGGGAAAAGACATGGAGAATGGAGAGGACAAAAGACAAGCAGAGGAGACGAGGAGTACCAGCGGACGGTGGCGCAGGGGAGAGGAGAAAAGGAGGGCCGGAGGCCGTGGTGCGCGATACGAGGCCGCGGCGGCCGATGGCGTCGACGGACGTGTCGTCGCGGCTATTTCCACCGAATAAATACGAGCGCACTAGACGACCAAATCAGATCAAGTGGTTCGCGTGGCGTCACGAGGTATTTATACTTATTATTAGTCTATTCGGAAGCACGGTGCTTAAACCCGACCCGCTGTGTGACACTTTATCGGGTTTAAACCCGACCCAACAGAAGCCCACGTTTTCTTAGCCGCGAAGATTTCGACTCCGATTTCCTCGTCTCTGCAGCTTCATGCGGTGTCCCCTTCGTCCCGGTAAGCGAGGGTCACGCCGACTGCCTCCCATGGCGGCGCCTCGTCCACTCGCCCTCTTCCTCGTCGTCCTCCTCCTTACTTCGCTGCCACCTGCGGCTGAAGGCTTGTGGCTCAGCCAGTGGGGCACGCTCGTCTCCTTGTCCCACTCCCTCCTCACCCGGGTCGCCAACGCCCGCGCCGCTCGGGACGACCTCGCCGGCGCAGACCGCGTCCGGAAGATCGCTGACAAGCTCAGTCTCCTTGGAGGTTCCGGAGGCGGGATCTGGTCCCTAGGACGGGACTTCGCCTGGAACTACGCCTGGCGAGGCGGAGGGGTCCCGACGGCGGAAATTTCCCGCGCCACCTCCCGTCTCCTTGAGGCTCTGGCGGAGGCGAGTCGGATCGAATCCGCCGCAGAACGGAGCAGGTGGGCGCTTCGCAACTACCGGCATCTCGTCGATCTCGCTGACTCCCTTTTCAAAAGCCTTCTCCGCACCTTCTCGCGATCGGTAAGCTCTTGTTAGGGTCAAATTTCCCGGTCTAGGGTTTGGAATTTCGATAAAGGTATGACATTGATCCTGTTTCAGGGGCCATTGAGGGAGATGGTGTTGGCAGTGCAGAGGGAGGTGGCCGAGGGGGAGCTGCTCAAGGACTGTTTGGAGATTGTCGCTGTGGACCTGGAGGGCTTGATTCGAATAGTTAGAGATGCATTCTTATCCTCCTCCAATGTAGACGAAGGGGAGCTCTAAAGCTTAAAAATTTGCATCACGGTAATTTGAGTTCTCCCTTCAATTGCATCTTTGTTGAATCTGCGCATCTGTACCTTTCTTTTTTGCTTTTGATTGTCTTGGCTTAACTAATGTTTATCCTACAAATGATCCAAATCCTTGTGCTAAGTAGGGCATCGTATAGCAGAAATCAGTATGGTTCACACTGATGAGATCATTTTGGGCTACTGAAATCTGTGAAAGCCTTCAAAATATTGGTCATATAAAAGAATGCAATTCCCGTTTTCTTAGTGCAATTCATAATTTCTTGATTTAGTGTCTGATAGATAGTGAACCATCTGAACCATATGACTTGTTTAGTAAGAAGATCTAAACTCTGTAAAATTTTCTAGCAACTAATGAACCATCTGAACATGGAGTATAGGAGAACATAGTAAGTGTAGCTTGAGCCTTGAGGTGGGATGGTGTTCTGGAGTAACCCTTTTACTCCAATATGATTCAGTATTAAGTCAACTTCTTGGTTAAATTTCTGATGACAATATTTACGGTGAAGTAGAGAACAGATCTGGTGCTCCACAGGAACGAATGCACGAAGATGCACCTACATGATATACTCCAACTTGTATGACGATGCACCTACTTGAATATGCATGAAGATCCATGTTTAGAAGTGGAGCTACAATGGCCATGGTTTCTCTGCACATTGTGGAGGGCTGATATGTTTTTAATGCTAATGGTTGAAGTAGACGATTTCATTAATCATGTTTCGAGGAGGTCAAGTCTTGTTGGTCGATTTTGGGACATACGTGATAAATGATTTTGAGTACTGGGAACAGAAGCTACAGCAGCAGTATTGAGTGTTACGAGGACAACCAGAGCAAGAAAGTTGGAATTATGGTTGACCCCTTGAAACAATAATAAGGTGATGTACTGAGTGTGGAGTGCATCAAGCTTGCATAGAACTATTTTATTGTCTGATGAACAAGAACACCATTAGATAGGCTTTAGAAATAGGGTATGGAACCAGATCAGATGTATTGGCCAAATCTTTAGGAATAACATTGTCGCTGCTCGTTCGACACTCTCTAGACATTTTAATTTCTGCCAGGGCAAACTGGTGAGTTAATATAACCATGTATGACAAAAGGGCAAAAAGCAGCCAAAAGAGACAATGAAGCTTGGGCTTCCACGCCTGAAGGACCGACGACCGAGAAAGGAGAATTTGTAGCTTTGAGAGTTATGAGTTTATTTAGAAAAATTCAGTTGATTTGTGCATTCTTGCATAATAGCCTCAGATATGACCAGCGCTTGGTTGGTATTCTACTGATGACCAAGCAATGCAAAATACCAACAAAGGATGTATTAGGTGAACACAAGTCAATTGCTAGATAAGAGCAACAAAGAATGAATGCATGAAGATGCACCTACATGATATACTCCAACTTGTATGAAGATGCACCTTCTTGAATATGCATGAAGATTCATGTTTAGAAGTTTTGCTACAATGGCCATGGTTTCTCTGCACTTTGTGGAGGGCAGGTATCTTTTTAATGCTAATGGTTGAAGGAGACGATTTCATTAATCATGTTTCAAGGAGGTCAAGTCTTGTTGGTCGATTTTGGGACATACGTGATAAATGATTTTGAGTGTGGGAACAGAAGCTACAGCAGCAGTATTGAGTGTTGTGAGGACAACCAGAGCAAGAAAGTCGGAATTATGGTTGACCCCTTGAAACAATAATAAGGTGATGTATTGAGTGTGGAGTGACATCAAGCTCGCGTAGAACTACTTTATTGTCTGATGAGCAAGAACACCATTAGATAGGCTTTAGAAATAGGGTATGGAACAAGGTCAGATGTATTGCCCAAATCTTTAGGAATAACATTGTTGTTGCTTGTCCGACATTCTCTAGGCATTTTAATTTCTGCCACGCCAAACCAATTCATTTACATATTGATTGCTTTGAAAAATCTAATGTTTTATTAGTTTCAGAGAAATAAGGCAGCATGCAGGCTGTGATGGATTAGTCAGTCTTTTGTTATATTCGGGTAGGCGATAATATGAATGCATAACATCAGTTTAATGATTTCTGAAAGCACGAGAAGGACTCGATGCTTATCATCTTAAAACTTTGTGGCAATTTTATTTCAATGATGATTCTTTCTTTACGAAGGGCAAGTTTTCAGTATTTTCTCATTCCAGCCAGTCGAAATACAATCCTGATTTGTATCGATACCTTATGTGCAGCTGATTGCGCCAGTAACTGATCCGAATCCCACACCAGGAGAAGGTCAAATTGAAATTTGTCAGATTACACCCTTGCCATTGTGTTGCTATTAACATTGCATTTTTGGAGCAGATATCCGAGTGCAGTGTGCACAATCAAAAGACTGAGTTCCAGTCCTGCAAGCATCAAGCACGTCTTATGCAAGGGAAAGAACGATTTTGTTTTGTTTTTTTGCTAGATTTCTGATATCTATCGACAATTAGCTATTCCTGAAACAATAGTGCAGTGACCCGTGACATTTCTTGGCCATCCACTTCCAGATCTTGGGCTGACGGCCTCCGCCATGGCATTCCAGCATCAGTTTCTTGCCGAAGCGTATTGATTATGGTCGGTTGGCTTCATTAAGGACTGTTGCCGATGAGCACCCAAATTTAGTTGCTGCGGGTGGCAGAAGGTCAAGTCTAGCGATGCGGAAGTCAGTGTAGCAGAATCGGCGGCCTGATTTGGTTTGATGAGAAGCATGCATGTGCCCCACTATGAAATGATGGTACCTACGCGGAATCGTAGTTAATGCATTTATGGCTTCTTATTTTCCTGCTAAACTCGACTCCAGCACAGGTTGGTGGCTTGAAATAAGAACCATGTTGATGGCTTGGAAGGCAGTGCCCATGAGTGGCTAAGGACATTGTTAGCTTGAAGGACTCTTATGGTGAACTCATTGAGACGGATGATTCCCAGCTCAAATCTTTGATCATAATTGTCAAGTCAAATTCATATTAAATGGTCAACAAAAGAACATTAAGAAAGGGGTCGTGGCAATTTGATGCTTTGTGGAGTCTCATCCTGAGAAAGGATCACTCCAAACCACATGTACTACATCTACAGCAGTATCTACTGCTGTAGATGTAGTGGATACATAGTGAATTCAATCACTCTTGTTTCAAAGTTAGAACAAGACTTCAATGCATCGGGCCAATCCTAACACCGATACCTGACTCTCCCAACCAATCCCCTCATCCTCGTCCTGTCAACTCCCCTCCCATTGCCTCTCCCCCACCCGTCCTCCTCGTTTCCCAACCTTCCTCGGCTGCGCTTCCGTTTCCACTTCTTGGTACGTTAATGGCTCACGTCGAGCTGAGGGGGCCGATGCTGGGAGCACGGTGGTTGCTGCTCTTGTTGGTTTTGACCTCATCGTTGGGCCCCGCCCGGCCGGAGCCGCGGGTCCCTTGCTACTTCATCTTCGAAGACTCGCTCGTCGACAACGGCAACAACAACAACAACGCTTCGCTGGCGGTGGCCAATTACCCGCCTTACGGCGTCGACTTCGCCGGCGGCCCGACCGGGAGGTTCACCAATGGCTTGACCACCGTCGATGTTATTCGTAGCGTCTTCTCCGCATGCAACAAATACTTCTCCTTACCTCTCTTTTTTGCTCTTCTGCTTGCGTGCCAGTATTGTACTGTGTAGTAATGGATTCTAAGCCAATGAATAATGCACGTATCTGCAGGCAATCTTGTCAAAAGGCAGGAAAATATGTATTGGTAGGAATCATAGAGTAATTAGTTCTTGTTCTTTGTAATTTCCATCTTCATATTTCATACCATATTAGTCAAGGATGTAGCATCGTCCATTATTAGAATTCCGACTCTGTGCAGCTAAACTATTGGGGTTTCACGGCTTCATCCCACCCTACGCAAGGACGAGAGGCCAAGCACTTCTTGCTGGTGTCAACTTCGCTTCCGCGGCCGCCGGAATACAGGAGGAGACGGGGCGACAACTGGTATTTGTTCTTCGAAAGTTTACTTGCTTGTTGATGGGTATCATAGATGCTAACTGGTCCAAGTTTGATCTCACAGGGTGGTAGAATTCCTTTAAGTGGACAACTGCAGAACTATCGATCAGCTGTGCAGGAGATGGTCCGCATACTGGGAGGTGAAGAGACTGCAGCTACTTACCTCAGCAAATGCATCTTCTCCGTCGGCATGGGCAGCAACGACTATCTCAACAACTATTTCATGCCTGCACTCTACGGAACCAGTCGACAGTACACCCCAGAACAGTACGCCGATGTGCTGACCCAACAGTATTCTCAGCAGCTCCGGGTTGGTCTCTCTTCGTCGTAGCCCAGCTACTGTATGATGACAGTCGCAGATGCAGACATGACGCTAACTAGCAGCTGCTAATTCTTGTGTGCTTCAGACTTTATACAACTCCGGGGCAAGGAAGGTGGCGTTGATAGGGGTGGGACAGGTTGGGTGCAGCCCCAGTGAGTTGGCTCAACGCAGCCCCGACGGCGTCAGTTGCGTCGAGGAGATCAACAGCGCCATCGGAGTCTTCAACGCCAAGCTGATCGGTGTGGTGGATGAACTCAACGCCTTGGACGGGGCGCACTTCATTTACATCAATGGCTATGGGATATTCGAAGACATCATGAGGAATTCTGCAGCTTATGGTAACCACTCCATTGCTTTGTGCAGGAACGTCACGTTCGTCTTTGGTGGATGCATGACGTTGTGGTGTTTGCGTTTCAGGCGCGAGTGTTACGAACAGGGGATGTTGTGGGGTGGGAAGGAACAATGGCCAGATTACATGTCTGCCGTATCAAGCTCCATGCGCTTACAGGAATGAGTACCTCTTCTTTGATGCTTTCCATCCCACCGAAGCTGCAATCGTCCTCATCGCCAAGAGATCTTACAGTGCCCGTTCCCCATCCGACGCCTACCCCATGGACATCCGTCGCCTTGCCAAAGTCTGATGCTCCATTGCCATCAATTAAGACTCTTGTTTTGTTCCCTTTGTTGCCCTCGATTGTCATCTGCCACATATGTATACAAGTTAAAGATTACTGCAAGCCTATGTAAGACCAGTGACACGTATCTGTCAACTTGACACTTTCGTGCGAGATCATTAGGTCGAACATGTTATAACGAGCATGCTCGACGACTATATAGCGGCATATTACGTGATCCATATATATTAGATACACGCGAAAACATAGATGACAACTTTAGCTTGACCGTCGAACGTCGCAAGACGAAACCAGGGGAACTCCGTCATGGAAATGGCGCCCGGAGCTTCATCACCGTCTCCACCACGTCGATGGCGAAGCCCGTGCGGTGCTTCAACCAGTAGTCCGCGTTCGGATTGGTCGATTCGGGCCCCTCGACGCCCAGCCTCGACTCCTTGAGCTCCTCGCTCGAGATCCTGTACTTGTCGTCCCGTTTCTTCACCAAGTCCGGGCGGACCATGCCCAGGTTCACCCCCTGGGGCGACATCATGAGCGCCGGGGCGCCCAGCGGGAGGCGGTCGCCTCGGTCCACCTGCCACGTGCACCAAAACTTGCCGTAAGTCTTGGACAGATCGTCCAGCTCCTTTTTCTGCAGCATCTCCGGCATTCTGGGACTTGCGAGTAGTCCGGACTTGATCTCGTGGGCGTGGGAGTGCCACAGCTTCTGCTCCTCCGGCGGCAGCTTGTTGAAGATACTGTCGGAGACTATATACTCAACACCTGGTAACACTTAACAGCTAAGATATGCATCGCCTTATGAGTTCAATCCTGTTCGGTGCCAAATATGATCAAATACATGAAGGAGAGCGAGGAGGCGGAGGAGGAGGACGGATACCGATGAGGTGAGCGGAGGAATCGTCGGTGTCGTAGACGGCGCACTGGAGAAAGTCCTGGTTGAGCCGGCCGCAGTAGTGGTGGGTCTCGATCTGACGGGTGAGGTCGTGGCCGTACAGGGCGAAACTGCAGATGTGCTGCTTAAACTGCTTCACGGGCTTCAACGACTGCAGCATCTCCGCCCCCTTGTCGATCACCTTTTGCCCCAACGTCATTGGCTTCCCCGGCGGCGTCGGCCCCTCTCCTCCCGCCACTGCCGCAGGCTTAGGGCTCTCGTCGCTTGACGCCATACGCAGTACTGCTCTTCCCTTCTCGGCTCCTGCGATCCACCGATGGATGAAAGGCGAAGGAACTATGTGGCACGTGCAGAGTTTGATTCTACGTGGTAACCAGCGTGCGAGCGATGTGGCACGAAATCGCGCAAATGTACAAGCGATCGCCGCTCTCCCTGCAGGCAGATATAAAGAATGATCCATAAAAGAAACAAAAGAATGATTGAGAGTAATTTTTATATTAACAACTGATTTAATCCATAAAGATTCGAATTAACTTATAAATAATTTAATTATTTCACTAGAACAAGTGACAGCAGGATCTGAACTCAACATCAACAAATTAATATGTCATATTATCGTCTCAGAATTGAGATGGAACAAATGATTTGGTAGATTATTACGATATCATATTTTTAGGTTTATAGTTAATTTAAAATTATTACATTATATATAAAAATTTTTATTTTAAAATTATAAAAAATAATATTTAAATATTTTTATAATAATATGATAATAGTTTTAAAGAAGTTTGGATTGATTTAATGAAAATATCTTAGTTTCAATTACGAGAGCTAAAAGTTCAATGCGTGATGTAATTTCGGATGAATTGTTCAGTTATTTTTTATCGACTATTTTACTACGTTCGAGCATACAAATATCCTCTCTTCCTTTGTGGAACGCAACAACTACTCGCTCCGAAATGGCCTCCTCTCTTTTGATCCCACTGCTGCCAATGTCTTCGCCGCTGTCGCCTCCTCTGCGGCCGCTCCGCAGCCCAAACGCCGTCCCGGTAATCCGAACCCGCAACCCGAGATCTAGGGTTCGTCGAACGCCCCCTCCCCCTCCCAAAGCCACCCCGCTGCCGGAGCCCGCGGCACTGCAGGACTCCCTCCTCAATCTCGTTCGGGCGTCTCCGCCCACCTGGAAGTCTGCTGTTGCGAGCAATCTCCTCATCTTCGTCGTCGGATCTCCGATTCTCCTGTCGGGGCTGACGGCTTCCGGCATCGGAGCGGCCTTTCTCCTCGGGACATTATCCTGGAGGGCCTTCGGGCCGTCCGGATTTCTCATCGTTGCTGCCTATTTTGTTATAGTAAGTGGGACTCCACACACTATTTGGTTGTTAGGTGGTTCAACATTGAATTGCTTGCTGCAATGTGTAGGTTTCTGATGCAGTGGTTCTTTTGATGTCCTCTATTGAATCGTCTGTTAGGGCAATGTTGAACAATAGACTAACATTAGCACAGGGACAGGTAGAAGAAGAGATGTCTTATCCATAAAGCAGAGCAAATTAGCCTGAAGCCGCTACGAGTATGTGGAAGTAATACTCTAACTTTGGGAAAGAAACCCCTCTGAAGTAGGTAAGGGGCAAGATTTGAAGTGGGTTCGCCAACCTGAATCTTTGGTTCTTGCTACTGAACTTAAGTTTGGTGACAGAGAGTATAAACCAGTTGCTCAATTCCAACACAAAAGTGGGATCATAACCGGCCTTGCTGGGAGTTTTTGCTAGTGTGATGCACATGCTGCAGAAACCCATTGGAAGTTAACCTTAGCACTAATGTCATAGGTGTTTCTGTATCTAGTGAGGTGTTAATTCTTTACTGTTGCACCAGCACCAGTCTTACGTTGGTTCCCACTTTAGGTAACCAAATGTTAACCTTCTATAATTCAGCTCATTTTTATATTAGTTTGTATGTCATTCAAATTGGCAAGCACAAAGATTTTTTTTTTATTCTAAAAATGCTATATAAAGCGAAGTGGGAGATAAATAAACTTTTTGGATTAAGTTATTTATAGATTATCAATATTTTTTACTTCCATTAGAATGGGAGGGGTCATATCCTGTCTTTGGCCTTTTGGGACCTGGTTGTCTGTATTTTCAATCTTTATTTTTTGCCCAGGGAACAGCAGCTACAAAGCTGAAGATTAAACAAAAAGAGGCCCTTGGCGTGGCTGAGAAAAGGAGAGGCAGAAGAGGGCCAGGCAGTGTCATTGGTTCTGGTGCCGCTGGTTGTGTTTGTGCATTTCTATCGATATGCAATATTGGTGGTGCTGCATCTGCAGCACTTTGGCAGCTAGGTTTCATTGCCAGCTTCTGTACTAAGCTGAGTGATACAGTTTCCAGCGAGATAGGGAAAGCATATGGGAAGACAACGTAAGTTTCTTTAACGAAAAGTTTATGATTTTTTTAACACCTCAATTTGCTCATGGTTCAATAAGATGGTATTTTAGTCAATTCATGATTTTGTACCTTTTTTAAGACTTCATATATGTAATAGTGCTAGATTTTGCTTTCCAAAGCATGACTAGAGAGAGTTGAGCATTATATTGCAATAGTATGTGTTAATGTGCTATTACAAATTTCATAACTTTGTTGAAGCAATCTCTGGTTCATTTTCTGCACGAACTATGACAGTTTATCGCCATTGAGAACTGACGTTTCTCTTGTCAGTAATTTTTTCTGCTAAAGTTGGCATATAATATTAATGTGATTGTAGAATTTTTGCATGACCAAATGGTGATTTGACACTTAAGAGAGAGGAATGATATTCATTGTTTTCTTCATTTGTATTCCTTGTAGAGTTGGAAACCCACTTGGATGAGCTCTTCTGAGTTGATCACATCTATTGTTAACACATATATGTTCGCACACACTGAAATAACAGAAGCCCCAGCATCTTAGTCTCTTTATGCTTGCACGGTTCCTAAGTTTCTGACTTTTGTTTTTATACAGAACAGGTACTTGGTCACAACATTTAAGGTAGTTCCAAGGGGCACAGAAGGGGCTGTAAGTATGGAAGGGACTGTTGCGGGTCTTTTAGCTTCAGTTCTTCTCGCTTGCATTGGTTACTTTCTGGGAAAGGTACATTTCGCATTTCAGATAAATTCGTCTCGATATTGTTATCCCCATAAACAATTTAAGAATCCAAGAACATTTGCTTGCAACCTTACTGAACATTCTGTCTTGATCAGTGATCATTTTATATATTTTTTAAAAAATCACTTTTCTAATGTTGATATTTGAATATTTCATTTAATTTTCAGTGTCTATTTATTCAATCAAAAGATCATTTGAATCCCTCTTACTCCCGAGTCCTAACTATTTGGGTTGTCTGCGTAGAATAAATCCTGCCATTTAGCATTTTCAATGGCTACATATGGCTTAATTGCTCATCTGATGTTCTCCACTGATTTGTTCTTATTTTTGTCTTTTATATTTTCTGCTATCGTTGTTTCTTTCTTGACTGTGATTGACAGCACTGCCTGAGGTGAGCCCATAACAAGACTAGTTGCAGGGTTGGTGACATGAATGTTAGAGAAGGATTCATATGAAACTCATTAGGAAAGGGAAAAAAGCATATATTTCAAAAGAATTTATCAATTGTCTAAAGTTAATGGTGATGGTAAAGTTGAACAAAAGCTCCCAACATACAGTAACAAAAAGTTACAAATTGTGACTGAAGAAGTTATTGATGAGTTTGATAAGACAACTAAGAGCTATGTTCTTTTGTTTTGTGAGTAAACAAATCTACTTTGATTTAATGGTGAGCCATTGTTGTGCTTGATATGATGAACAAGGCCTTTTCCCCCTTGTTCTGCCATTACTTTTAGAGAATGACACCCAGACAGCCAAGTGGATGTTTATGTTTTTTTACTGCTGTATGGGTATTTCTGGTAAAAGGGTTTGTACACTATGTTTCTAGAATTATCTGGATCTTTCTAACTGGTACCATGTGAATAATACCTTGATAAACAGGTGGATCTACCACAAGCTGCTGTATGTGTTCTAGCATCTCAGATTGCAAACTTTGGCGAGAGCCTAATTGGTGCTACGCTACAAGAGAAGAACAGTTTTCAATGGGTAAGGTTCTATCGAACTTGAAAGCTCAGTATGTTTCATATTATGTCGTTAGATTCTGTTGCCTATTTCAAATCTAAATTAACCCATTAAATCTCAGTCTTCTGTTAAATTTTCATTGATTATGGAAGGATGCATGCATTCGGTCCCACATCTGTATCTATGGCCTCCCATGCATGAGTTGCTACCCTGAAAAATCCACTTCCCATGCATGAGGCTTGTCCAATTTAATTTTATTACTGATTTCAATTTCATGTTTCATTTGGTCTTTTGCAATGACTAAATCATTGTACAAATTTTTCCTTGATTTTTGGTTTTCCTCACTGGTTTGAGAAAGAAACATCCAACCGAGCCTGATATCTAGAACATGGGATGCATTGCAGATAGACAAAACCCGCCTCAACTGGATTGGTTGAGAGTATGTTCTAATTCTAGCCGTCAATAATTTGCATTAACGTGAATTTATGCTGCTATCTAAAGCATTATGTCATTGCTTAATGTACATAAGGTCCATAATCGATATGGTTCTGCATTTGCCTGTGAATATAATTGTGAGGATCTTTGATTGCAAGCATGTCCATGTCCGTCGTCATCCATATTTCTTTCTTCCCTTTGCATTTTTCTTGAGGGTACTATCTTATTGGACGTCAACCAATTTTGTTATTCATCTCCTAACTGGTTTTGATCCTACTTTTGTGTTCTCTTCTACATATTTTGTTATTTTCCTTGGGTTAAAAAATTTTCTTCTTTCCCGCAGCTGAACAACGACATTGTCAATGTTATCAACATCTCTATCGGTAGCATTTTGGCAATTTTGATGCAGCAGTTCATTCTGGGGCATTAGCAGCTTTAACTAAGATTTACTAATATTCCTATTGTGTGTGCCGCTTTGGTGCCGAAGTAGTTGTCTGAGTAGCTCACAAGCACATATAATTAATAACACAACAGCAGCAGGATGAATGCAACGAGAAACGGTTCTGTGAAGCCACAAGGAAAGGTTGCTGAAATGGATCAGTTCTCGTCCCAGGTAGGCTCATGTAGCTGTATTCTTGAGATATTCATCATGTTTTCATCACCGAACAAAAAAGGTGAGAAAATCCATAGATTACGGCAGAGTTGCTCGACTTTCTGATAAAGTCTAGTGATTGCCTGAACATCTATGTAATGATCATTCTGTTCTATTCCCGATCACTGCTGTTCATGCCAGCAGTGATTTTGTTGATTAAATCGACATGTTTATTAAGTGTATTCATCTGATTTTTTTTGTTATGGACTGTTTAGGAGCTTGTTGAACGTTTAATCCCGTTTAATTCCTCCTCGAAAGATCAAAGCCTTCATAGTGGACCATTCCTCGTGGTTCAGAGGGCTCACTTCAGTGATGGTTAATGGATATCTGGCACCTACATGTTTTGTTTCAAGCGAACTTGATGTCTTTCCTACTAGGAGTAGCTGATGAATGGTCGAATCCAAGTCTCGAGTTCCCGAGTATCTACACCATGGCAACCAAGCACGAATAAAGAGACAGCAGTTTTCTCTTTCCTTTGTTGTTTGATAGGAATCCTCCGGTAAAACACCATGCTATCATCTGTGTCTGAAGGACGACGCCACAAACTTGAAGCTGCAATCTTACCTTGTAGCCAAAACGCGAGATTGTATCAGCAATCATGGTGCAGGGACATGGCCACCAATTTATAACGATGGATAGTGTGTGTACCACCGTGCATGACTTTCCTGCTAACCGAGTCGTCACGTTGACCGTCAGAGGTGGCAGTTGATGTGGTTACTTGGATATCTGATCGATGATCTACTTGTACGATACGATATGAGGTTGGATGAAACTTTCCACGTAATCCCTTCGATGCTATGGTTAATCCTATAATTGAAAACAAAAATTTTGTGTAAAAATTGACCAACGTTGATTATTATGACTTGGTGGATGATTTAACCTGAAAATTATTCTGCGAAATGGACGTAAATATTTCTCCTATTAACAATGAATCAGATAATCAAGAGATACACATCTAAGTACAGAAATCAAGCCATGATTTGTTCATCTCCAAATTCAAGCTGGTCCAATTGCAAGGAATGAGAAAAAGGGCAGGTTGTTTTCATGTTACACATCTAATGAAACCTCCAACACCATAAGCTCTGTGATAAACAACATTAATGACATTCTAAAGAATGTACAAGAACAAAAAAACACATGCTACCCGTAGAAAGAATGCTTCCTAGGGCGGTGACAGTGATAATACAAGAGGAACTTAGAAACAGGTCAAATCAGATTCAGTAGCTTAATAAGGAATACTTCACACGTACGACAATCTTCCCCTTTTCGACCCCCAACTTAGCACCCGTGACTAACCAGTGACCGGGTGTATCTTGCGGCCCTTTCAACATCTCTGTCATGTCCACAATCTTCACAAGCTTGCTGTAATCTGCCGAAGCTGAAGATGATGTGTCCTCTGATTTCAGCGCATGGGTAGTAGATGGACTATGATCCCAAACCGATCTCCTTATGGTACAACCAGGGACCTTGGAAAACAATAGTTTGAGGTGCAGGACACTCCTGGCACCGAAATCCCATACCCCCAGCTGAGCTCCTGTCACTATGTAGACACCAGAGAGATCGCCAATGTTTGTTTCATTACTCTCGATTGGTGCAGTGCTAACATGGGCAAAGTTCTTCCACTTAATGGGTTCAAACCAGCGGCTGTCCTGCTCCTCAGGGCCTTGCCATCTTGGAGGGCCGATTGCGACGTGGGAGTCCCAGTGAGGCAGGAGGATCTTTGGTAAGATTGCAAGATGCTGTATATGGATGGCTAGTCGGTTTCGTTTGTTTCCTTCAAGGCTTATCCTGAGGCCAGTGACTGGTTTACGGCCAACAGATACCTGCATGAGTAATTAGGAGCTATGATATAGATATGTATGGCAAAACCAAATGATTTTTGCAGTGTTTAAGGTACCATCAATATGTATTAAGCATTAAGAAAGAATACTACTTTAAACAAGTAGAACGACAAAACCAACAGACCTACAGACTTAACTAGAGCTAACATAATATACTAACTTATTATGTCAAGATTCCAATGTCTTTTTGTCCATTATTGCGCCAGCAAACCATAACCATACTAGCGTAAAATAAAGATATGACAAACTGCCAGACTTCCATGTAGGTAAACCATCAACAAGACTTATTCTTAAAGCTTCTGATGTTTTCAGTCTATTTTCCTCCACGACATACGAAAAATGCATAAATCACGTATCTTTTTTTTTTTTTTTTTTTTGTGCGGTGAGAGGGATAAGACTAACTATAACTTCGATTTCTATTTTTCAAGATTAACTGAAGTCTAGAGCAAGAGACACAACTTGAAGAAATAAGTCTTCTTGGGCTTTGCAACTAGCAACTTCTGCATTTTTATTAGCACCAGCAAATCCCAAAAATGTAAGACATTTCAGAAATGTCACCTAATCAGAAAGTTGAAGTTCTTCCCACTGACGTCAAAGGATAAAATTCTATTCAAACCTGGGTTTCGTCAATCTACACAAGAATGCCCAGAAGAAATGGTGATGAATAGATGTTTACCCACTCATCACATACTGTCTTGCAAGTAATTTGTCTACTATTTGAAGCATGATCTCTACCGTAAGATGAGAAATCTTGAGCAATGAATTAGTTCTGCTGATCCACAAACATGTATATATGAAACATTAGATAAATATGTTAAACCATAAGATGATAAGGCTGCCGAATTTATGTAGCATTATTCTCATGCAACCAGTAAAGATAAACTAGTCATAAACAACCGAGTCCTATTTACCTGTTCTGAGCTAATATAGAGCTTGGGGCCCATTAAGCTAAACTGAAGAGAAGGGCACACGGGTTCCTTTCTCTGGTGTCCAGGAATATTAACTGGTGCTGGAGCCCAAACTCTCTGCACTTGGAAGTCCAAGAAATACTGGAGTTCCTCTACTGGGGGCTTATCTGGAGAAACATGTTATATAAACATAAACATTGGGTGAAAACCAGCAGAACGAGAAAATCCATAAGCCAAAAAGATAAAATAGACAACAACATTTTAACTTCACAGAAGTCAACTAATCAAGGTACATGACTGACATTTGTCATCAGATTTGGTTGCCAAAATAATAAGGATTTCAAAAACGAACGTTATGAAAGTCAACATGCAGTAGAAAAGTTGCTCACATCTGTATCCAATATCCTGTGACTCTAAGCTTCTTTGATCTCAAAGCCTACATTATTCTTATGAAAATTTCAAGGCTTTCACACATGAAGCATATGTTTCTCCTCATACAAGTCAAGAATCACAAAGAAATTCTGGTAAGATGAGAAAAACCATGAAGGAAACTTAAAACATTGAATTGTTGAATTAAGTTAAACTGGTTTTTGCAATTAATGCATCTTCAGTAAGGTCCCAATATGATATTCAATGTACAAAAGTACGAGCAAAGAAAGAAAAATAAAAAATATTTGAAAGAGGTATAGCAGCCAATTTACCAATGGCCATGATTTGACACATGAGATGCTATCACATGATATTTGATGTACAAAAGTACGAGCAAAGAAAGAAAAATAAAATATATTTGAAAGGGGTATAGCAGCCAATTTACCAATGGCCATGATTTGCCACATGAGATGCCATGTGATAGCACTAAATGACGATATACAACTCTACAAGATTATATAACTGGCAGGTTTTTCAATGTAGGATGGACTCAGTTAGGGTATCAGAGTTCACAGTCAATTCTAGGTTTGGACTTTTTTTTGTAACACTATTGTCATTTTCTCTGTCTTGTGTGGCTTCTTACTTTTAGTTGTATCAGTGTTAGGGAGTTTATCACTACTTTGATATAATTTATTTCAGAACAGTGAATAACACACTAATATTTCAGTCTAGAAATATCCAAAGGTCTTTTACAATTTTTGTGAAATTAATCATTTCCAGGAAAAAGAAAACTTAATCCATACACGTATACAAACAACAATAGATAAAGAAGGAATAGATCTAATCTCAAACTCTTAGCAATCTGACATATAAACTATATCTAGTAACATTCAGATCATATATCATAAGTTAAAAAAACAAATACTAGTTAAATACATGCAAATAAACAATGCTCTATCACTTGAAATGAGTCATAGCTGGTGAGGATTTATTATTCACAGCAGTAGATGTTGGGGCGAAATGTTGTTGGAGTTTCTACCAAATAGTGGCTAGCTTCAAATATGAATGATGGGTATTTTAATTATTGCCATGAAAATGAGAACAAAGTTTTGGTTTGCTACATATGTTGCTAATGGATTACGTAGCTAGCTTCAAACTATTAAATATATAGAAACAATGCTACACATAAATATGAATTCTGTGCCAAAACTTGATTCAACAGGACTTAAGCAATATAGATAGGCTGATTACTTTTCCTTATCAGAAAACTTATAGTCCCATGTCATCAAAAGAAAACTAAATGATGCCTTTCTACAACAAATCACTTACTCCATGTAGTGAAATATAAATTACTATCACTTAAACTTCCACATCCCTTAAAGCACAAATTATGTTAATAATTTTGCCACACCATATATTCTGGAATCCAGATGTTAACGTTAAAAAACAGATAAAAGCAACAAAGACTTAAACCAGCACTTACACTCCAAATATAGGTCAACAGCACGGGATAAATTTTGAATTCCAGGCAGTCCATTCAGAAGAGAAACAATAGGGAGAAAAGTTATATTGATGATGTCTGGTGCTGACAAAATGGTGTGCACCCAATCTGCATGGTTTTGAACAAGATCATCACCACCCCTCCTCCTAAATATTACAGTTACATCCTGCAGAAAAGGAAGCATTCCTTTAATGATATAAGAATGAAATTGACAGTAAAATATTGGATACTGACAGAACTCCAGCAAAACTGTTGTTGCTTTGCAACCTCTTAAACAAATAAATATCACTACTTATATGCATGAACAGTCTTAAATCAAATTAATTTGAATCAAATCATGCTTTTTTTTACATTGATCCTCACCAGACCTTGTATTGGCAGGAGCCTCGTGCAATATATATATATATATATATATATATATATATATATATATATATATATATATATATATATATATATATATATATATTTTTTTAACAATCTTAAATCAAATTAAGCCCAGAAACATGCCTGCTGGGTGTAGCCAACCCAATTAAGTTTTCAGCCAAATCAGTGCCTGGCAATCACAATATAAATAAGAAACTTCACAAGAAGGGGGGATATTCCAAATTCCAATAAAATCTAGACAGGTGGTTCCTGATTATCTGGGATCATATCAGAGACAAGCATATGCCTTAGTTTGATATTTACTTCATAAGAACTTTATTCTAGAAGTCCTTCTCCAAGGTAACTTAAATTAAAATCTCAACCATAACATGATGACTTGACGGAATTAAACTGGAGTCAGTTACACATCCTTTGCAAAGCCAACATAATTCAGTATATATTACATTTGCCTTTATGGATTCTAATTTTCTGAACCCTTCTGTTAAAATCAAGACCCTCCCCTTATCAAGGACAATGCTGTGGCTTTTCATAGTTTGCACTCTGACATATTTGCGCTCTTACCTACCAGCACAGTCAATTACCACCCTTTAATTAAACAACTCTTATGCCAAGCACAGGACAAAAAGAAATCACAGGTAAGTTGCAAATGTGTTTTCTTTATTAACAGAACAAGTACTCCGAATTTTTAAGGGCAAGTCTAGCAACTACAAGATTTAAGGCACTGGAATGGTTATTTTAGATAATGATATTATGCTAATTTTAGGTAGGGCATGTAAAATGTGGAAATACCTTCAAAGCATGCACACGGAAACCTTTTGCGAATTATTTATATCTACATTCAATTAAATGCACATTAATAAGGCAATTATGAGTCTTCATTTAATCCAGAGTGGTTCTTTAGCTATCAGATATTGACTCATCACTGTACAGGATAGTCATACGGATGACACAGACCTCCATCCTCAGAGATGCAGATCTAGATGGATGAGGTGGCATGTCACTGTTTCTAAGAGATGGATTTGTTAACATGAAAATAACAATATGCATTATATAATATGGCACAACATATGTGTTTCAAAATAACAGAAGCACTAACCTTATCTTTGTAATTCAAGGGGGCATTAAGTGACTGGTGTTCCAAGTTCAAGAATCTCTGATCCCCAATCTCCTTAACATAGTTTTCAATTTCTGACACTGATAACTGGGATGAATGGTGTTGCTTGATATAAACCTCATCTTTACCACCGATAGTAACTGATGTGATAATATGGGTGCCAAAATTCTCAATGAAGCTGAACTAGGAGAAAATGTAGAACCCAACGATCAAAAATCAAGAAAAGAAGAAATTGCAGAAAAGAAGTTCAGGTTAGATAGCAGTAAACTTCACCATGGAAGCTGAGAATTTTCATAACAACAAAAGCAATATATCCACTTTACATAAGAAAAAACCTCGAACTTGTTCTATTTTGTAAGAAAGAATCATGATAACAATACCTAGTCATGATGCAAACAAGTCTATTACCTACTAACCTAGCCAACGATGGTGGGTCCCAATTGCGAGGAACAGCACGCTTGACATCATCACGGAGAACTAAATCAACAGTCATAAGCTTAGCTGTATATAAAGGGAAGTGGAAACCATCCATGGCGAGGGCTTTTGTTGCTGCAGCATCCACTTTCCAAGATCCAGTTAAACTGAACATTGAGTTAAAGCTGCCAAGAGGTACTGTGCCAGATAAACCTGACTTCTTATTGAAATACTCAGCCATCTGATGAGACACAACAGAAAATATGGTAACTAGTTTTGAAGCACCAAAGTTCCCAAGGTAAATTGAGCCCATGAGATGCATAAATTGTTCGAAAATCACATCATGAGAAATGGTAACAAGTTCCTCATACAAGGTTGCTTAATTTAGTACAATTTATAGATGTAATCATGTAAAAGCTGGGATACACAATTGAAACATACGTTCTCTTTAAATTCACCAGTGGGTAGATACAGGTTTTCTACATCACAATCCCGTTCTTGCAGAAATTTTTTTCATAATAATTAGCACAAGCTTTCATAATAATTGACCTTTTTTCCTTCTTGGAAATGTCGGCTGAATTTATTTGACTTTTGATATGCTTCCCTCAGCATTGTCCATTTCCAAACTAAGTCACTTGACATTAGAACAAAATTTGACATGCAACAAATTTAGTTTTTTCCACTCTTTCCCATGTGTGTATCTTGTTCAGAGTTCCATGAGGAGGACATGCATTGCAGAAAATTAGATCTTATCAAATAAATGATTTATTTGAATCACCTTATACTTTTATCATCAACAAATTGTCATTATACAAAATGGCACATATATACAAAGTTCCAATCTCCACCGTTCAATATGTTTATACTTAGTAATCTTCCTCCTTTCTTAACCTACTCAACATCTTTCCCTCTTAAACAGAAAGTCTACTAGTATCGGCCATATGATCCTTTTGACACCCCTCACCTTCTAATTCAAAAAAGATAAAAAGACCGTGATTCTACAAGTTCAAGGTTACGTCCATAACCTTAAAAAGAAGTTAGTTGTAAGGGTCATAAGTTAAACATTGAAGAACTTGAGACATAAAAAAATTGACCATTTTCCTCCTCTTGTAGTCAATGTTATATCCCAACCTTTTCTTCTATGACATTAAAAAAAAACAGAGAATTTTTCAGGTAATTTTCAATCGGAACTTCTCATATTATAATGAAAAAAATAAAATTCACGTATCCCATTACAAAACCTGACAATTACACCAACAGATATATATATATATATATATATATATATATATATATATATATATATATATATATTCTATTATTCAGATTAAAGAATTGGTCATAATCGACCAGCACCCGGTCTCCGAAAACCCTTTTTGTGACATGAGTGCAAGAACAGCCTAGATCATGTAATGAATCACGAGAGCTACCGATCGATTTGGATTAATTCGATATACCTGCTGGAAATTGCAGACACCGGAGGACTCCCGCCGGTCCCTATCCCTCGAGATTTTGACGTCTGAAGGGACAGCGCGAAGAACGATCTGGCCGCCGCCGCCGTTGTCCGCGATGACCAAACTCTCCGTGCGGGCGTCGTCGAGCAGGACGAGGCGGGACCCGGGGGCGCCCTTGCAGTAGAGAAGCCGCGCGTCGGAGGTGACGTCGAAACCCCGACCGAGCGCCTGCGTCGCGCTCGTCAGTGTCGCGATCAGAGACTCCGAGCCCGCCGCAGCCGCCGCCCGTGTCCTCTCCATGACAACAACCCCGCCCGGCTCGCCGCGGCAGCAGTGCTCAAACGCATTACACAAGGGTTCATGTCATCGCTCTCGCTTGTCGTCTCCCCCGAACGCTGCGTCGCCCACCTACCTCCCTCAAAATGAGCGAACGGTGACGGAGAGGGAGGATGAGGGGATTCGACGATGGAGATTGACTTGGGGGGCGTCAAGGCGAGAGGGTTGGACTGGCGAAGGGCGGACTTTTTGACCGCCGCGATCGTCCTAAACAACACAAAGATGAAGAAGAACGCGTTGTCTGAAGAGGGATCTGAAGTTGACCGCTCCGCACAAGCAAAGGACCGACGCCACATCCCTCGCTGCCTACTCTTTGGAACTCCTGGGTTTCTAGGGGTGCGGCTCCTATGTGAGACCCAGCCAGCAATCAGAGAAACACGTCTTCTCTTTGGCTAGATTTTGGGCTCCACACGCCCTGCCAAGTACTCACAGTTGAGAGATGATAACTTAAGCCCTGCCTTCTGTCGCTTGCCATCCATCCTTGGGTCAATCCCCGTCTTCTCGTCCCGCTCCGTCTGTACTCGTCTCTTGGTCGCCATGATCTCGCTCTTTGCGCGCAACGAAAGCTTTGATCCGGCGATGCTGACGCATCGCCACCGGCGTCCTCTATGGCCGACCATGGAGACGTCCCCGTCTCTCTCGCATGGTGAAAGAGGTCGCGATCAAGAAAGGTTTCGGATCGAGGAAGCTGCACCACTGCTGCTATACGAGGTCTGGTATAATTTGGCCTGCTTCAATAATAATAACAATAATTATTATTATTATTATTATTTCTTTAGAGATAAACAGGAAAAACGGATTTTATGATCAGACACAACTTTATTAACTAAGCTAAATAACATCTTTAAATATTATATTTTTTTATTTATTATAAAAAAGATATTATTGATGTTGTAGACAACCTAACCTAACGTGATTTTGACTTTTATATGTAGAGTTATCCTAGGTGTCTTCATGATGAAAATATCAAGACATGTATCAAAACTGAAGTTGAAAAAAAAATTTCGATCCAATTTCTTTCACATTCAAGATAGTAACTAGAGAAAAATTAGTATGATAATCGACGTTAAAAAGTGATATTCTTGGTAACCGTATCAAAAGTAAGTTTGTATATCTAGTGATAAACGAACATAATATTTTATAAAAAAATATTTTTTAACTATTTTTAATAATCTATTTTTATATTTTTGTCTGTGAATGTGACAAGAGAGGAAACAACCGATAACTATCTATTTTAAACTCATGTCCATGTGGATAGACATAGGAGAGATAAGTTTTGTTTACACGATCGACATGACTGCGGACACACGTGCGATGATTATTAACCTTAATAATCACCCTATCAAGTTTTATATGAATATTAATGTTTGAAGAATAAATACCCGGATGATTATCGACATGTGAGCTCCACTTAGCTCACACATAACATGTTAACTCTACTTGATTGTCACCTTAACCCATTCACTTTATACATCATAAGAGATACAGATCTATTAGGTTGACGGCGTAACACCAATATGAGAGTCAATTCAGCTCCATGTTACATAGGTTGACAAGAAGGCTAACTCTATAAGTCATTAATTTTTATGACCACATTGAAGGTCGGGCAATGTGCATGACCGTCACTAGCATCAACTCTTAAGTATACTTTTAAAATATCGATTAGGTTTTTATATCATGGACTAAACATTTGATCGAACTCTTTGAATCTATACTAACTTAAGCATCGAAGGAGCTTACGAGCATGTCCCTATATAGTTTTGTAGGGTACTAGTTTGGATCATCGAGATTTTTGATAGCTCGATGAAATGAACTCAGAAGTGAACCTAAACAAGAAGAAATTTATTATGATCATCGAGATTTCTGATAGCTCGATGAGATGAACTCAGAAGTGAACACAAACAAAAAGAAATTTATCATAACACATCGGATCATCGAGATTTCTGATAGCTCGATGAAATGAACTCAGAAGTGAACCCAAACAAGAAGAAATTTGTCATAACACATCCCATTATAAGGCTAATGTTTCATATGTGATTTAATCATGGTTTTTGGAAAAAAAACAAAACCTCTCTTCTATGGAAACGCATGCGAATGGTCTCCTTCAATTGCAAATACGCGCAGGAATCTGTATGTACGTGAAACCTTTCAACAAATCCACCCCTCAGTGTCGGACAACAAAGTTGCACATTCATGGTGCGTGTGGACAGCCAGAAAAGACACAATGTCCTAAGAGCTAAACCAACAACACAGCCAACATCGGTCATCAAAAGTTAATCCGCGAGTTGATATAATTTAGCTGGAGATTGAAGAGCAATACCAGTGATTCAAACTCAGCATGTACGAGAAACATGACCCACTCAGTTTTCGCCCTGTGACATACATGTTTTGCTTTTTCCCTTCACACACTCTATATAACATACACCAGTTTTTCTTCAGAAAAAAAGTGGTTAAAGCTGAAGGCAAGAAACTAAAATCATCTCTCTTGAATCCTCTCTCTATCTATCTACTTCAAAACAAGAAAAAGATAACAGAAGACAGGGGGACGCTGAATCGATCGACCGTCCGTCAGGCAACAGATCTGGTTTTCGAACTTCCAAGAGTGAGGTCCAGCTCATCGGATGCACACTCCTCATGGATCATCTCCCCTTCCCATGGCTTCACCAACCCGGTTGCTGTATCGGTGCCATTACTGCTGCTTCCAAATTCAAATTCATCTGAACCACCATCAGACATCTGAACATCACCATGGCTGTGGCCACCGGGTATCGGAGAGCATGTCCCACTCTGTCCTGGAGTCAACATTCGGGAGCCACTGGCTTCCTTATAGAAGACAAGAGGATTAGACGATATAAGGCTGAAGGTAGGTGAAGAAGGACCACCAGAAGGAAGGCGCAAGCTAGCAAGCCATGCAGACTGTGGAGTATCTTGGTGGCCAGGGCTTGGTGGCATGGAAGATGGCAAGAAAGTAAGGTTGGAGCCAGCCCAAGTTGGGTGGATGGCTGGCGCATCCCAATCAGTCTTGATGCGCGAGGATCGGGCAGTGGGAGAGCTCAGTGGAGGGGTTACTGGGGCACTTATGGACCCTCCATGTACGTATAGATGATGGAGGTCGGGTAGCTTGGAAGAGGTGGATGTGGAAGACGCGGATGAGAGACTCTTTAGCCATGGAACGAGGGAGTTGCCTTCTGTGCCGCTGGTTAAATTCTTCGCGTTAGTGATCAAGGTTGAAGACATAGGACTTGCCAAGGTGGATGAGGCCGGGCTTGGGTTATAGGAGACACAAGGACTTGGTGAAGCCGAGGATCCAACGATATCCACGTGTTCCACTGGCTTGCATCCCTGCATATTCATATATGGTTGAAATTTTAGCTCAGTTGCTATTTGGAATTGCCACTGAAAGAATGTCAAAGACAATGTGTCAATCTATGCAGCAAAACTAAACATACAAGTTGCCATTCAACATTTGGGAAGATCTGTTTGGCCTGGATTACAGTTCACATGATAGAAAGTAATAAATATCAAGCAGCAACATATTAGACTGAACAAGTTGCAAATTCCAATACAATAAAGCTGAAATATTTAAAGTTTTTAAAACAACTGGACCATTAGTACCCTATTTAACAAGCTTGACTTTTTTTTCACTCAAGGATTCATCTCTCATGTTAAGATTGTTAAGATCACCAAAGAAGAAAATCTGGGAGCTGAGCTTCGATTGTAAGACTTCCAATTTACATTTTCCAACTAGTGCTTGGATTGCAATCAAGCTGAGCTGAACTTTGCTCTGTTCAAGTTTTGTCTCAGCCTATAATACTAAGGGAGCTCGCGCTCCACTCGAGACTCGAGTCAAGCTTGAAATGATGTTTCAGCTCCGCACACTAGAATTTTTACAGAGTCAAACTTGGATCAAATTAAACTCAACAAGAATTCATTTAGGAAGACCTGGATGGCCCAATATACAAAGTGTTGGTTTAAATGTCAACTTATCAGTTTAATTTTGGTAAAGCCAATTTTGTGTTTCTTGTTCAAATAGTATACTTTTCATCTGCTTTAATAATAAGTGGAGCCAATTTTTAGGGTCCCATTTCTAGAAAAAAAAATATTTTAAAATGTTCATCTATTTGTGATTGGAAGCAAGACGTGGATCTACCATTAAATTTTTTTCATAAGTAATTTTACTCAAGACTATAGATGAACTTGGCTGAACCCCAAGTTACTCAAACATGTTAACTCATCTGCAACCTTAACTAGCAGTAAGAGAAAAAAAAAGGAAAAAGACAGGGTCAGAATCCTTCTAAGGTCATAAATCTGACAACATTTGGCTAGTCCCAAAACATGACCAAGATTCAACCTAGAAAAAAACTTGGTTATAAAGAGACGCTTTATCAATCATTATCAGGAAACCATCACATTTGCCCTTTCTTTTCTTTTACTTTTTGATACTTCTTTCTTTATAGTTTAATTATGTGAAATCATGTTCTAAGCACGCTACTGCTTCGAACGAAAATTATGGCTATGGCTGCTCAGATCGATGCTCATCGGCCCAAAATTACATCTTCTCCAGCTCATTTTTACATTCCAGCTGCAATCCTCATTGTCATCCCCAATTTACTTAAAAATATCACTTTGTACAGATTCTCATAACCACTCTAATTGTTCATAAAGACTTTTTACACAGGTACAAGGAATGCTGAAACAAACTCATCATTCGTGTATCAGCACTCTCTTCTTAGGCTAATTCTAATCGTTAACCACCTAATACCAATTCGAAAAGCCTCATCATCCATCTTTTACTGGAATTAATTGCACAGATTTTTTTGTTCCTTTTCTATCTACCAAAAGCACCTTTCTTGCAAGCTAAACATCATTCCCTGGGTTCTCCCAATTGGCAAAGGCGACAACAAAGTGGGCCAAATACCTGAGCTTAGCTACGGTGAGCACCACTTGCCTTCAATCGGAACCCCCTCAAGATCTCACTTTTCACCTTCCTTCCAATTCAAGCTCCGGTAGTTCGCCAGAACTACCCACAATACAATAGAATTTCCATCCTTCGCTATGGTGTTCGTGTGCCCATAATCCTTCCTTTAGTCCCCAGCAATTACTGTCTGATAGAAATATGAGATAGGAAAGAGTCCTAAAGAAGGAACCCAAAAGGCCTATGCTCCCTCCACGATGCGCGCGCACACACACACGTCTCTTTCGGCGCACCGGGATTCCAGTAAAGCGGGTGACTTTGACCAACAACGAGGGAACGCACCCCGTCCCAACGCCCTCCCGATACAG